TCCTAAGAAAGTATGCGAAATGATGAAGGGATTTGATATGCTTTCTTGGGGTTGATGCGTACGGTCGACAAGCACGCAGATCAGCCCTGCAACGTTTTCTGATAACCTTTTAGGTAAATTTTTTGGAGGGTAACGAACCTTTCCAGATTGTGATAATACACTATAAGGGCATCAAAGTGAAGTTATTGGTAATATGATTCATATGATAATATTATATAACCATTTTTTATAACCAATATTTACTGATTTGAGGTTGTGTTAATACCATCTTGAGCTGGTTGCAAAGTCTCTGGCTGAGGTGTCCGTTGTATTCGCAGTTTTTTTTAGCACTTTCTGTAAACTGACTACTTCATCGTTGAATGAAATATTTCTGTCCGAAAGCCCATCTGCCTCTGCCTTGTTCCTTCATCGTATATGCTGGCCTCACGGTCGACGTCTCATCTCATGTTTCGTCTGCCACATGAGAAATTCGTGGGCTGGAATAAGCACCTTGTACTCAACCAGTGTTTATCACCCAGTAGAGCCAACCTACTCAGCCTAATCTCTTGATATGCGAACGAGGAATAGGATCCGAGTGGCGCTCATTACATGGCACTGCCGATTAGCCCTCATTATGCGTCGTCGCCAACGTAGCTTTTCGTTGTGTTTATTGTTTTGTTATGTTGTGTTCACAGATTTGTTAACAGTCGAAGAATTGCAACGCTGTCTTCTACAATTGGTAAAAATTACAGACAGGCGTATAGTCGGCAATGTGGGAAGATAAAATGATTGACAGCGAACCGCGAATTGGAGATGTGTTGAGAAACAGATACCAACTGGAAGCGCCCATTAAATTTGGCGACGTACGGTCAGTGTTTTTGGCTTGCGACATGCGAACGTCCGAACAGGTTATCATAAAGGTAGTTGCAATCATGCTCGTATCATAATTGTAATATAACAAACTGTTCGGAGATTGAGTAATTTATTTAAGCGTTGGTGTTCATAGTGAAAAATAAAAAATGCATAGAAGCGGTTTATTTATACCTTGCGCAAACGAGTAAGTTTTTGATCAATCAGTCAATCAACTGATCGACCGGTACCGACGTTTCGAGTCTTCTTTTACGAGCCTTCTTCAGGGTGATCCGGACTGACTCAAGACGTCACAACAGCTGCAGACCACACAACTAATTGATTCGTTTGCGTTGTGTATAAATAAATTTGTTTTTGTACATTTTCTAGTTTTCAACAAACAGTACTTACTGTTCGTATGGCTAAATACATGACATACAACTTTATGTCGTTCTTAGTGTTATTTTTTGGGAAGTTATTCAAGAACTGAAAAATTTTCTTTCTGTTATTATTATTTTCAGAAAATATAAAAAGATGGTTCCTTGCCGTTGGAATGTCGGTCTTCCTACACTTACATGATTGAACTACTTTGTCACGTTTCTTTTTATGAAGTTGATTGTGCGGTGCGGATCTCAGTTCATACATGGCATCAGCCAGTAGTGCTTTATGTTTTAAAGGCAGAGTTTACAGTCATATGGCAAGCGTAGTATGTAGTCTGTGTTTTTTCTACAGTGACTCTCACGGGATTTGAACTCAGGGCCTATCGGTTCAGAGTTCGACAGCCTACCGAATGAGTAAGCTTGTTCTGAAGCCATGCATGGTGAATTGCTCGCTCAACGGAATTCGTAAAACGGAAAAGCAAGAATTGGCCTGTAGCGCAGTCGAACCCTGCACCGCCGGATTTCGAAGCAGACTTTTTAGACACTGTGCTATCAGCTTCCGATTCGTCTTCTTTCGTCCACGGGACACATGGCAAGACAATAAATTTCTGCACCCTTTCAAAGACCCTATGGACAGCGGTTCGAATATCCAAGTTCCAACTTTTTATGAATTCTGTGTCATTCACTCAGTGACACCGAATAGAAAATGACCATCATAAATTTTTGCCAGTTTAATAGTTGGTTTTTGGTTCATTAGCCAGTCCGTCAGTTTCGATGACTCTCCTTTCGGGTGGAGGATGCAAACGTGTCAGACAGTGTTTTTTCGTGCTCCCTCTCTTGTGTAAATGTTTGAACTGCGCAGAAGATATTCCGAGTCTGGAGCACAGTCGTTCCATACATTTGTCCAAAGTTACTCTCCACCGTTCCCGAGGTCTTGCGGCCGGTTGATTGGGAAAATACGAGTTGTTTCGCTCTTCGTTCAGAAAACTTTCGCAGTACTTATCCGAAATATCGCAGTTGTGAATTCTCAGTCGGAAGAAGCAGGTGTTGCACACCAAGGCTTTTTCGATCGTCTGTACTCCGGACCATGTCAGGGCGCTTGAGCTCAGCGATTCATCTCACAAAGCCCATTTCAGCCGCTTGCGCATCGGATCGAAGCTTTATAGTCATGGCCCATGATTCATGGCCGTCGGTGAGTATCGGATTGAAGATCAACTTGAACACAGGAAGCTAATTCTTCAGACTCACCTCTGCCTTATACACAGAGGTTTAAGGTAGTTCAGGGAGAATCCGGCT